TCCAGACAGCATTGTTTTCAAACATAGATGGGACACCCAGAACAAATGCTGGATGGGTTGAGTGGGACTGTGACCCAATTCTAGATGCTCATAAGGGAAGGAGCTGCTGGGGGTGGGGGACGCATATGGGAAAGGTGTCTTTACTCCCGAAGGACATGGTGGTGTACGGATGTAACCATCCTTGGTAGTATGGCATCGTCTGTTTTCTTCGGTCTTCTTGTGGTGATTGGGATGAGCCCAAGGACACAATGTCTTCTTGAAACCAGGAATGGGAAAACCCAAAGACAAAAGCCAGCAAGCTGACAGTGGCAGAGACAAAAGGGAGGAAAGACTTGAGTGTTTGATGATGTGAGTCTTAGATTAACCAAGCCTGAAACTACCCCAATCAAAATTCCTTGTTATTCAATAATAAGTCCTTTCATCATGGAAGTCGTTTTGACTGGGCCTTACATTACTTGCAGATGAAAGTATCTTTTTTTTTTTTTTGAGACTTGTTATGTAGTCCAGGTTGACTGGCCACATAACAGAAATTAGTACAAGTACTTGTGGCACTCCCTATCCTCCTGCCTCAGCCTCCCAAATGCTGGGATTACAGGCATGCCCTACCACACCTGGCATGAAAGTATCTTAATTCATAACCCACAAAATTATCTTCTTCTAGTAAGCAGCACAGTTTATCTGCAGAGGCTCCTCTGGTAACAGCCATAACTCTCAGGGAGAAGAAGAACTCATCTGGATGACTGTACCAACTATTAGAACCATTTTCTTTTTTGTCAAAATGCTCTGACTTCCCTACCCGAGCATGCATGGTACACCTTTTCTTTCACATCACAAGAGCTTATAGACCAACTACTTTGTCTTCATTAAAGTACCTAAGTACATAATGGGCAGGGGAGTTTCAAATGTATCTTTTAGTTGTCACTAGGTTTATCTGATAATATGTCTTATTTAGATTTTTAAAGTGTAAGAATTCCTTTCCAGTCATTACCCTAAGATCACTACCTGTCAGAATAGCACAAACAGATGAGGATAATAAAGAAATATGTACCTATTGATGAAAACATATTTTCTTCAAATGTTTGTGATTAAAATACTATATCTTTTTACATTAAAAAAAAAATATGTATCCCCCCCAAAAAAAAAGAAAAAAAATAAAGATACAGGGAAGGAAGTAAACAAAGTCAAATTGTGAAGATAAGCTATCAGAAAATTGAGTCCATGTCTTGATTCTACCATCTCCTACAGGAAGGGAAAGGAATATAGCTGGGAAACAGATGAGAAAAACAGATAAAAGTTATCTCCTGACAGGGAGGAAGGAAGAAGGATATGGTTCAATATGACATTTGTCTTTTTTTAAATTTTGGGTTTTATTAAATATTGAGGAGCGCTATGGTTTATATGTGGTTTGTTTCCCAGTCATTCATGTGTTCAATACTTGGTCCTCAGTGTGGTGATGCTAAGAGGTGGTGGGTCCTTTAAGAGGTGGGGTCTACCAAAAGACCAAAAATCGTATGTTCTCCCTCATATGTGGACATTAGATCAAGGGCAAACACAACAAGGGGATTGAACTTTGATCACAAGATAAAATCGAGCGCACACAAGGGAGGGGTGAGGCTAGGTAAGACACCTAAAAAATTAGCTAGCATTTGTTGCCCTTAACACAGAGAAACTAAAGCAGACACCTTAAAAGCAACTGAGGCCAATAGGAGAAGGGGACCAGGAACTAGAGAAAAGGTTAGATCAAAAAGAATTAACCTAGAAGGTAACACACACGCACAGGAAATCAATGTGAGTCAATGCCCTGTATAGCTATCCTTATCTCAACCAGCAAAAACCCTTGTTCCTTCCTATTATTGCTTATACTCTCTCTTCAACAAAATTAGAAATAAGGGCAAAATAGTTTCTGCTGGGTATTGAGGGGGTTGGGGGGAGATGGAGGGGGCAGTGGGGATAACGGAGGGGGTGGGGGCAGGGGGGAGAAATGACCCAAGCATTGTATACACACATGAATAATAAAAAAAAAAAAAAAGAGGTGGGGCCTAGTCAGAGGTCATTAGGTCATAGGGTCATTGCTCTTGGAAAGGATTAAGGTAGTTCACATGGGACCCTTAGTGTTTTGTTTTTTGGTTTTTTGCAGATTTTTTTAAGTTCTTGAAATAGTGTTATTACTAAAAAGAAAAAGGCCCTCCCTTTACCCTAGCTTTCTGTCTTATCATGTGATCTCTCTCTCACAAACACATTCCCACTGCGATGCTCTCCACTATGAAGTCACCCAGCTGAGCTGGCACCATGCTCTTGAAACTCCAGAACTGGGAGCTAAGTAAACCTCTTTTCTATATGAAGTACTCAGCCTCTGGTATTTTGTTATAATAATAGAAAATGAACTAATATAAGTAAGTAAGGTGGCTAAGTCTAGGAGGGGAAAGAACCAAATTTAAGGCTAGGACAGAAATAGTTTCCCTGGAAGTTGAAAAGTCTTCTAGAAAACAAAACTAAAAATAGCAGCTGCAAGTCTGGGCGATGATATTTTCTTCAGGCGGGAGTTTGCAGGGCCGCCATCTGGGTTTCTTTTCTCCTTTCCCTTCCCACCCTCACTCCCAGCCTGCATCAAACCATTTACCATACATCATTAACTCTCCCTCCATATCCTCTCCTCCATCTATCCCTCCTACTACTTTTAATTCCCTTGTGACCACTCAATGATGAAGCACCTGTGGCAGCCCCCTGGTGTGATACCATGTTTCTTCTCTCCATTCTCCAACCTACACCTGAATTCCTTGAATAAAAGCTAGGGTCCTGGCCACTCAGCAGGACACAGACGTCCAGGTGAGTGTAGGTCATTGCTAACTATCAGTCATGTCATGGGGGGGTCATGAACAGATTAGAAACAACTGAAAAGCAAGATACTCTAAACGCCAGGGTCAGTGCAGTAAATGGGAGGCCATGAATCCGGCCAGGCACCAAGGACCACAGGTTTCTTTGTAACCAGGGCCAGCTGGGTGAAGAGGAATACACCCAAGGTCAGTGACCAACCAGCAATCCCGGTTCAAAGTCTTCCTCAAGGGCACACCTGACCAGCATCCTTGCTCTTGCAGAAGACATTGAGGATGCCTTCTGTCAGGCCGCCCCTCACCTGCCTGCTCCTTTTCCAGCCTCCACCTGGAAAAGGATTGAAGTACACCTAAGTCCTGAAAGGAGGCAAATCAGCGAGCTTGCCTGGGCCTCAGCTGCTGCAGGGAAAATGACATCTGTCCCAAGGTGTCCTTGTAAGGATGAAATGGGAGTATACTTTGCATACTCCTAGTGCATAGTAGGAACTCCAGTCAACACTTATAAAGAACCTACTGTAAGCTGAACACCATACCAGCTGCTGCGACTGTAGACCAGGCATGTTCCCTGCCCTGTGCAGCTTCCAGTCTAAATAGCGAGCCAGACATGAATTAATAACCAAAGATAATTGTAAGTCATAGCTGTGGAAAGGGACATGACGGGAGGGGGGAAGTACATTTCTTGGGAAGGTTGGTAATTCTGAGAGACCAGGAGAAAGTATCTTAATGGGACCGCTCAAAGGGTGTCTTCTTGTGAAGCTTGCCCTGATTTCTACAACCAGAAATGATTCCATAGGCTTTTGAATTCTAGCAGGAAGCCACTGCAAATGACACCTACTCTATCATGTGCAGTGTTTTGACCAGTGGCGTGCCTATCCTGTCTCCTCTGTCAGCTCCTACACACTTTGTTGGCAAAGAGTCAGTTCTCTACCCCTTCCTGTGCCTCAGTGCCCATGAAAGTCTGTTATTTTTGTAAATTAGTGAAATTAGCTTCTTGAAAGCTGCCACAGTTGAACAGAACTTGAACCTTAATTTATGCCTTTTGTAAGCAAAGTTCTCACTGATTTCCAAGTCATCTGTCAGAACATAACAGGTAATGTGCAGGGAAACAATAATCTGACTTTTCAGAAATTATATAATATCTGAACCTCATAGAATGTGACACACCTAAACTCCTGCTGAAAAATTCCCAGATCTGAGCTGACTCATCTAATACTTAGGCCTACCTAGTCAAGAAAAAATAAGACTAATAGAATTCCTTTTTGCTAAATTTCAACTTCTAAGTTTTTAAATTAAAATTTTTAAACAAAAAAAAGTAACAGCTGTGTGCTGGAACATTCATTGCTGCTAAAACATTGCTTATATGAGAGGAAAAATATCTTTTCCTTCTTCCCTCTAAATCAAGGCTGTTCCCCTATGACAAAAGATTAGGAAGAGAAAAGTGTCCTAATTTATTTAAATAAATTTTATGTGACACAAAAACTTTCATAAGGAAATAAAGACCCAAAGAAAGAGGGAAACTTGAGTGTTTTTTAAAGGTAGTTTGATGAAGAATGGAGAACTGTGAAGAAGTATGGTAGGGCAAAAACAGTATGGTTATAAACCGGGGGGACTTAGCAAGACCTGTTCATTCAGATTCTTCTGTGCCCCTATGTTTTTGGAGATAAGGATACTCCTTGCTTCTGGTTACCAGGAGGGCTCCTCTCACATGGGAGTCTTCTGATGTATTTCAGAGAAAGGTCAGAAAAAATTTTATTACTTGCTTCAGGGAAGAAAGGTGGTAGGGAAGATCACAGTGACCTCCTGCTGTTTTCTCAAATGCATTCAGTCAATATGTCAAGGTTCCATATTTTGGGGTAGCATGTTCAGACCTCAGCATTTACTATCAATCCTGACTCTATAATTATACTCTGGAGATAACCAGATAAGCAATTTTAATCATATAATGATGTCAGAAGATTAAGTTCCATCCTAACTCTGGAAAAACATTCTTGTAGTTTTCAACATTGAACTGTTGCTTTGTCTTATATGTGCTTTTTATTGTAATTAATAGCTATAATTATGTTTATATCCATGATGGCTATAACAAATAAGAAAGTCAAAGAATCAGAAATTTTGCTATTAAATTTAAATACTCAGGTGTTTCATTTAAATTCATTTTATTTTGGTATTCTTGAATTTTTTAAAAATATCCCACTGCCAAAGAGAGGCAAGATTCATAAATGAAAATAAATGTATTAACAAGCAAAGCAAGCCCTCTTAAGTAATTTGCCAAATAGACACTAGTCATCTGTAGAGGAAAAATCATCCACTCAGCATCTGCAATGTAGACCATAAAGGAAAGGATTTTCATCCTTGACCATTCTCGGCTCCTCAAAACTCAGCCCTTGGGTGCACTCTTAGCTGCAGAATGATGGATTCAAAGTGCATATGGGTTCTCATGTTCTTGCCATGGGTTTTATCAGCTTGTTTTCCATGACTCACACTGGCTCCACGAAAACTCTCGTTTCCTTGCTCTTGTGGGTCAAATGAATATTTTCCAGCTGGTTCTCATCAGCCAGTCCACACCCCTACTGCTGTCCTATTGTGCATCCTCAGCTGGACCCAAGCAGTTACCAGCCTCCTCATTCCCAAAATAAAATCATAAGTATTCTTCAGTATGGTTCAGTCCAGATTGCCCAGGGATAGGCTGAAGATTAAAACAAAAAAGCAAGCAAATATTATTCACACATATAAAAAAAAAGTGTTAGCTATTGCCTAAGATAGAATTGGTAGAAAGCAATTTTAAATCATTTATTAAAACTGTGTCTTAGGAGAACACCAAAAAACTTCCTCAAGTCATTGACTAAGGGCTCACTGCATTCCTATTATGCAATGGATCCGCCATTGTATCCCTAAGGGTTCAGTGTGGGAAGTGATAGTCAGCTGCCCAGCCTATGACCCAGAAAACCTTCAGATTCACCTAGCCTCTGCTACTAAAGCTCGCTTGGTTTATTTTCCACATCTATTAAATGAAAGCATTAAGTGTTCATGCAAGTTTCTTTTAGTCGTAGCATGTCACAGTCTAGTAGAGACAGAAAGAAGTTGGGATTATTCTTTCATTCAACAGATTTTTACTGAGCATCAAGTAGATGCTTCTTACCCTCTGAGTGTTGGGTATCTCTTGTAAGCTCTCCTAGTCCTGCTGAATACTTCTATCACGTCACTTGACTCTCTTCATTGGAATTAGAAGTTCCCCACTCTGATTTCCTCACTGACTGCCTTATTTTTTTTGCCTAAGAACAGAATTCTTGACACATAGCCAGTGTCAAGAGACATGTGATGAATGACAGAAGGGGAGCTCTTCATCTGCAAAGTTGAGCAGCCAGAATGAGGACCAGCATGAGAGGGATCAAGCATGATGCCCAGTAATATTTCCTTCACACAATCATTACATCCTGACTAGAGTCTGAGCCCGTAGCAGACCCTGACTGCAACAACACCCAAGCACTAAGCTCTGATCTTTCATCCTGGTGTTTAGTTTCTGGTTGTCAGATTGACCACCTGTGCTGGATCCTTCCAGTTGCCTCCCCAGATCTGCTCTCCATGTCCGTCCACCTGCTTGATGTCCTGCAGGACTAATCTACACAAACTGCACAATGGGGCTCAGTGCATCTGGCTCTGGATGACCTTGGCCAGTGAAATGTGAGCACACTCGATGACAGGCAGACAGCAGAGCTGGGGCACATATTTTCGCTCTTTAGGGCAACCACAGGCTTTAGTGTTCCCTGACCAGAGGTAATACCTCTTGCCAGACAGCCTTCCCCACATATTCATTGTGTGTCTGTCTGTCTGTCCCTGTCTCTCTGGGTAGCTTGTCCTGTTAGTCTTAAGGAAGTAACACTGCCCCAGTACCACTAGTCCCATGGGGCTACATTCCTTCTTGGTTTCCCACACCCTGGTTTAATGAACCCTTTAATAACCCTTCCTTGATTTATTCAATTTGAGTGTGACATCTGGATCCTGCTAGAAGCTGGATTACTGACCTCTCAGTGATTATGAAGAGTAAGTGATCCAGTCAATGACCACCAAGCACAAGAAGAAGACACTCAGAAGTGCTCATTCCTTCCTCTTCCCTGTACTTTTTTACACTTTACAGGGGCTATAGAGGGGCTGATGGAGTGGCTCAAGTGGTAGAGTACAGGGGCTATAGAGTGCCTCTAACACAGGAGCTACTAAATAAATATTGTCAAGTGAATGAAACATGTTCCTAAAATGATCATAGTTTTAGATTCATTATAGGAAATAAATGTGCATTCATCTAGATTATCCGATATTAAATTCAAAGTTTTGTATTTCAATAATTGGGTGAGAGAGCGGCTCTCCCTGTTCTCACACTGTGACTAAATTATGGCTCCACTCCAGGACAAACCATGTCAAGGGAGGAGCTGACATTTCAGGGCACTTTAACAGACTGAGCTTAGTCTAATAGGCTGAGAGATTCGTTTACTGATCCTTCCTGGATCTCAGAGAAAATCATGACTTTAGTTCATGACATCTATGTCACATAGACTGACTTTGCAAGTCCATCACTTTCAACCTGTGACATGCAGGTGGAAATGTAGTTTAGGTCAGTCGTACCTCCTTGAATCTGTTCACATTTGTAACGAACAAGCCAAATAGTCAATAAAGCCAAGTCATCACTCACCGTGTATACTGATCTTGCTGAAGCACGGAGGAAGCAACTTCTAGTTCTGGTATTGGAGGAAGCACTTCCTTCACCTGAGCCAAGGGCCGCCTCCGTGCTGGCTCTGCTAGTGAAGGGGAGCTGTGTTAGCTACATTTAGTCAACAGCAAGGCATTCTAATGTGGGAAGGATGTAAGAGAACCCCACCCAACATCTAAAAAGGATTTGGACAATTTCCATCGCTCACCGTACTTCCCGCCTACAGCCCTGACGCCTTAAACCCACTTCTGTCAACTGTTTCTGTCCCTTCCTTCTTTCCCTCACCTTCTCACTCCATTTCCTGTACACAAGACCTGAAGCATAATTAGAGATAAGCCAGGCAGAAAAAAAATGTAAAGCACAATGTTGTCTAGCAAGAAAAAAAATCTTGGTTTGGAAATTAAATGCAAACATTTCCTTCTACCACATTTTGTTGACGTGTAAGAATATTAATGATACTCTCAATTGCAGAGCCAATTTTACCAAGAAACAAAGTTACAAGTTAGATCAACTCTAATCTGCCTTCCTGCTGCATGGTTATTCTTCTAATAGTATCTTTCAGTTGATCTCAAGGTAGGAAATGAAATGTCACATCCTACACCACGACATCTCTTTATTTTCCTAAGATCCAGGGTCCCACTTTCCTACTTTTTATATTGAGACTTGAATTCTGCATAGCATGTGGGTTTTGTTTCATAGACATCTCTGCTTTTGGCACAAAGCCCTGAAATGGGCGAAAATGAGTTAACAGCCATTTCCAAAGAAGGGTAATAGTTGCTTCTCTTTTTTTGGTGGGGGTGGGAGTGGAGGGGCGAGAGTTGCTTCTGAGGAAATCAAAAGGGGGGATTCGAGTGTGCTCAAGAACATGGAGCTTCTTGTACGTGAAATGACTGAAGAGTGGCACAGGTTATTCAAACAGATATACTACAGAACCTTCTCTCAGAAATTTTTCTTTTAATTAGAAAATTTCTTTTAATAATAGAGACTTTGGGAAATTTCATTTCCTGAGTTAAATACTACAACTATGAAGAGCTTTTCAGTAAACTGTCTCCTAGGCAATCACTTCCCACCACACCACATAGTTTCCTTTCTTTCACTCAGTTTCTTTTTTTTGTCCCTCAGGAATGTTTTTCTGGTTCTCTTCAGAAGGATCTTGCCCATGTCTTACTAAGTTTATTCTTATGTATTTCTCTTCTTATAGTTGTTCTAACTACGGTATGTCTTCTAACTGGTTGCCCTTTAAATATTTAAATCCTAGTGGGTTTTTATATTATCTTGTACCCTACACCTTGTTGAATTTTTATATTTTGTAATTTTTAGGGAATTATCATAGTCTTTTTCAGGTATGCAATTATATTATCTGTAAAATAGTGTTCATTTTATTCTTTTCAAGTCTCTTATTTCTGTGTCTTATGTAATTGTGTTGGCTAGTATTTCTTATATAAAGCCAGATAGAGTGGAAGAGCAGACACCCTTGAAAATTTCTGGCTCAGCTTGCTTTCAGTATTTCCCTATTATTAAGCATCCTTCTGGACCTTTTGTATGTTGTTTAATTGTTTGTGTGAGACAGACCTTTTTTTTATCATGTTAAAGAAATATCTTTTTTTCTTATATTTCTTATAATTTTTACTAAAAAATGGGCATTCTTCAAATGAAATTTGAAATTTTTCCTTTTTTCAAATGAAATTTTAGCATCAATAGTGATAATGAATCCATTTTTCCTTCTAGATCTATAAATATGAGTGACATTAACAGACTTCCTAATGCTAAATGGTCCTATATGCTGGAATAAGTCCTATTTGATCATTGTGGGGGGGAGGGGTGTACATATGATTTTAAAACTGCTCCATGGATGTTTTTGCTATTTTATTTAGGATTATTGCATGGATTATACATAAATGAGATTGCTCACTGGGCATAGAAGCCCATAATCCCAGCCACTCAGGAAGCAGAGGTAGGAGGATTGTAGTCCGAGGTCCAGGCAAAAGAGCAAGACCATATCTGAATGAAAACTTAAAAACAAAAGGACAGGGGTGTGGCTTAAGTGGGAGAGTGCTTGCCTAGTGAGTACGAGGGCCTGAGTTTAATTCTCAGTACTGAGAAAGAAAAAAAAAAAGATTGCTCAGTGGCTTCATTTTAGACTCAGTCTTCCTTGGATTTGAATATTATTATTAATGCTTATTTTAGAAATTGAATTTTTCCTTTAGTCTGTGCTATTGTTTGAGTGTGATTTATCCCCAGAGGGTTCACACGTTAAAGACTTGGACCCCACTGTGGTGATGTTAAGAAGTGATGGGACCTTCAAGAGCTGAGGCCCAGTGGGAGGTCACTGGGGTTCTGCCCTCAGAAGGGATTAAGTAGTTCTTATGGGATCCTGGTTAGTTATCTCAGGAAGGTTGTTATAAAAGAACAAGATTGACCCCTCCCTGGTCTGTCTGGCTTCCTATCTGATGATGTGATCTTTCCTTCTCACATACACTCGTGCCACTGTAGTACCAGCTGCCATGAGGCCTTCACCAGAGATAAACAGAAGGCCACACCATATTATACCTTTGATCCTCCAGAAATGTAAGCTAAATAAACCTCTTTTTTATAAAGCACCTAGCTCCAGTATTTTGTGATAGTAACAGAAAGCAGACTAATATAGTATATAGTCATTTAATACCACATTAAAGATACATTTATTTGAGACTGGTAAAAGTCTCCTGTGAATTCTTCTTATTCCTTTTTGAGGAATAATTGACATATTTTTCTTTGTCTTCTATTATAATTGGTTTGTTTAGATTTTTTAAATTTCTTCTGGCATCAGGTTTCATAAATTTCCCCAGAAAATTATCCATTTTAATGAAAAATTTAGAGAGTAACTATTTTTATAAGGGATAAATATACATAGATTCCTTTTTCCCCTGTGCTGGGGATCCAGTCCAGGCCTGTGCATCTTAAGCAGGCACTCTACCACTGAGCTAACCAATCTCCATAGATGAGGCATTTCCAGAAGCTATTGAGGGCCTTTCCATGTCCATGGAAATACTGAAATCATCGACAGGAGTTTTTCTTACGGAGTACTTCGTCTTCCAAAGGGGAAATGACTAAACTTCCTGATTGATTAGGTCAAAGATGGGAAATGAGACCTGAGACCCAGTGTTCTCCTGGGCCAGAGCTCCCCTCTCCTGCTTGTCTCCTCATAGACCCATTGTACCTGAGCCCCTGGCATGCTTCACTTTTATGTTATTGTCAGGAAGTACCAAACACATCTATAGCTAGCTCTGTCAGTCCATTCTCACACCAAAAGTTCAAACCTGCATTTGTCAGAGGATGGTTGTGACAGGCACAATTTTAAGATAGTCCTCCAAATTCCTACCCCCCTATAATCCCCTCCCTTTGAGTGTGGGTAGGACTCAATAGCATGGGATTTTACTCCTGTGATTCTGCTAAGTTATAAGGCAAAGAGGAAGGGATTTTACGGGTATAATTAACATCTCAAGTCAGTTGGTTTTGAGTGGAGGGAAAAGGAGCTATCTTGGTAGGTTTGATTTAATAAAGTGAAAGCCCTTCAAAGAGGGGCTCAGAAGGCCAAAAGGCACGTTCTCTCCCATGTGTGAATTATAGACCTAACACAAATGCAGCAATCTTATGAAACACTGGTCACACGAAGGGGAGGTCACACATGGGAAGGGAAGGGAAACTAAGAACTTGAATAGGGTTGATATACTCTCTATACAAGAATGAATATAGAAATTTTAAACCAGTTAAAACAACAATAAGAAGGGACTAAGATAGAATAAAGAAAACTAGAAGAGATAAACCAAATAGGGTTATAATACATATATACATGGAAATACCACAAGGAAACTCCCTATGTAGATTTTATCTCAAGCAAGCTAAAATGTCTTTTTAAAAAAGAGGGTGTGAGCTTTCCCTGAGATCAAAGAGACTCTCTTGCTGGTTTAAGCAAGCAAGCAGCCCTATTGTGAACTGCCCTATGGAGGGGGACTGCAGATGGGCTCTACGATGTGTGAGCAGCCTAAAGTCAACAGCCAGTAAGAAGCCAAGGCCCCCAGTGTACAGCAGCAAGGAAATGAATGCTGCCAGTCACCTGAATGAGCTTGGAAGCACAGGTGCTGGATGAGAATGCAAGCTGGCTGGCACACCTCGATTTTAGCCTTGGGAGCCCCTGAGTGAAGCCATACCCACTAAGACACACCCAGACTTCTGACAACAGAAACTGAGATTATGTGGCTCTAAACTGCTGCGTTTATAGTAATTGGTCACACAATAGATAAACTAGTCTGGTGATCAACAGATCCTTGACCTAAAAATCACCAGAGGTAGTGATTTAAAATGCAAATTCTTGGGAGGGGAATGAGAAAGAAGGATGGAGGGGGCTGAATCTGCCAAGGTACATTGTAAGCATGTATGGAAATGTCGTAATGAGGCCCCTTCCCCCTACAACTAAAATATACTAGTAAAAATGTTTTTAAAATAAAAGTGAAATGAAATTTGTGGGCCCTATCCCAGATCTACTGAATTAAAATCTCACTTCATAAAAGCCTGGGAGCCTGAATTTTGTAGTCTTTCACGTTCACTCAGATGCACATCGAAGCTTTAGAATGAATTTACTTTGTAAATAATTGCTCAGACAATCTTTGTCAAACATCACATACCTTCTGGTTCTTTTAAAAGGCTATAATAATTTTTTTTTAAAAAACCTATTCATAAAGTTACATGATTATTGAAGAAAATTAACAGAGTTCTTTTGGCTGGAAAGCCAAACTACTCATTGTTTGTTTATTCATCTGGTTTCCTGATGTTTTATACCACAGAATCACCATTGTTTACTATAGAAAGCTATTACCTGTCAAAGTGATGACTAGTCTGGAATAATTCCCCCAGCACTGCACAATCTTCAGTTTCTCCAAATATCCAAAGTCCTGTACTTTATATGCTAGTAGTTAGCTTCTCAAAATTGATAAAAAGCCAGAAGGTAGGACATATGTCATTTTAGTACTATCTTCAGAACAGCTAAAACAGGTGGAATTTTTTCTCCTGCTACACTGGGAACTAGTTTCTTTCAAATAGTATTTG